TGATCAGTCTGGTTTCTTAAAACTCTTGTTACATGCCCTAGTAGATATGATAAAGCACAATTCTAAATGCTTTTCTATAGAAAATGAAGTCCTGACACCTAAAGGTTTTATGGAAAAAAACGTTTTCCAGGATACAGGTGGCTTTTATTTTCCTGATCCAGCTAAAATCTTGGGTGGTACAGTCGCATTGTGGCTGCTATGCATACTCACTTCCGTTGATGCCAAGTCCAAGCTCATTGTCCTGGAAGCTGGCGGAATTGAGGTGCTCTCTGGGAAGCTTGCTAGGTATACATCCAGTCCTCAGGTAAATGTTTCTGTTTCGGACAGAAATAATTATATTCTTTATAAGTCATGGGTATGTCTTAAAAATAAATTAGCCAACTTCTGTGTTGTGTTATACAACTTGTGGATCAAATTTTTAGGGCCTTTTGTTAGTTCAGTGGTTCTGTTACAGATTACAGTCAGATTTCAGAAGTTATCCCTTCTTTATATCGTTTCAGACTTGTCAAGTACGAATTGTGCATCTTGGCGTTGAATCACACTGCTCTTATTTTCTCTTAGGTTTGACTTGATTCTTACTTTTTGTGGCAAAGATGTCTTGTACGAATTTTCCCCCTTAAATAATCTTGAGCTAAATTGTTTATACCAGGCTGAATTTGAGGATACAGAAGGCATTTGGATTAGCGCCCTCCTCCTGGCTATCATGTTCCAGGATGACAATGTGTCCTTGTCATCAACGACGATGCGAATCATTCCAACGCTTGCACTTCTGCTAAGATCTGATGAACTGATAGATCGGTATTTTGCTGCCCACGCAATGGCTAGTCTTGTTTGTACTAGGAACAGAGGAATAAATCTGACAATTGCAAACTCAGGTGCTGTTTCTGGGATAATAAACATTCTTGGCTATGTGGAGTCAGAGATTCTGAACTTGGTTGCTTTGGCAAATGAATTTTCTCTGGTGAAGGAACCTGATCAAGTCATTCTTCAACACCTCTTCGAAATTGAAGATGTGAGGCTTGGCTCCACTGCACGCAAATCTATCCCACTGCTTGTAGATCTCTTAAGGCCAATTCCAGATAGGCCAGGAGCCCCTCAATTTGCCGTCCAAATCCTGATTCGCATTGCTGATGGGAGTGACACAAATAAATTACAAATGGCTGAAGCTGGAGCTGTGGAAGCTTTAACGAAATACCTTTCTCTAAGCCCGCAAGATTCAACGGAACACATCATATCTGAATTGCTTAGAGTATTATTTAGCAACCACGAGATTAGACAAAACGAAGTGACACTAAGTTCCTTGAATCAGCTTGTAGCAGTACTTCGTATGGGGTCGAGAAGTGCAAGAAACAGCGCCGCTGGGGCTCTGAATGAACTCTTTGATGCTGAAAACGTCAGAAATACTGAAATAGCCCGCCAGGCTGCTCAACCATTGATGGACATGCTCGGTACTGTATCAGAGACTGAGCAAGAGGTAGCTCTCTCTGCATTGATTAAGCTAAGTTCAGAAAATACTTCGAATACAGCTCTTCTGGTTGATGTGGAAGAAAGTCTGCTGGAAAATGTGAACAAAATATTATCATCTGCTTCTGCTTCAGAGGAGTTGAAGATAAATGCTGCCAGACTTTGTTCTGTTGTTTTCTCGAATAAAAACGTCAGAACAAGTTCATCCGCCTCCGGATGCATGAAGCATCTGATAACACTTATGCACTCTAAAAGAAGTGCAGCAGTTGAAGCTGCAGTTTGTGCTATTAAGATATTATTGGATGACGAGCAACAGTTGGAACTCGCGGCAGCTCATGACATTCAGGAGCTTCTTGTTGGCTTGGTTTGCGGAGAACATTACAGGATTATTGAGGCTAGCTTATCAGTTCTCATTAAGTTGGGGAAAGACAGAGTACCACGCAAGTTGGATATGGTGGAAGCTGGAATAATTGATCGATGTCTTGAGCTACTACCTGGAGCCTCAAGTTCGTTATGTTCCTCTGTTGCAGAGCTGTTTCGAATTCTAACAAATAGTGGAGTAATCGCGAGAAGACCAGATGTTACAAAAACGGTAGAACCTCTTTTCATGGTCTTGCTCCGATCAGACTTGACCTTATGGGGGCAACATAGTGCCCTACAAGCACTTGTAAACATTTTGGAAAAACAACAAAGCCTTGACGCTTTTAGTTTTACACCCAGTGAAGCCATAGTGCCTCTGATTTCATTTTTGGAGTCTTCATCTCAAGCTATCCAGCAGCTTGGAGCAGAACTTCTGAGCCATTTTCTTACAATGGAAGACTTCCAGCAAGACATCACAACACAGAGTGCTGTGGTTCCTCTGGTTCGGCTTGCTGGAATTGGAATACTGAGGATCCAGGAAACTGCGATAAAGGCACTGGAGAAGATATCTGCTACCTGGCCTAAGGCTGTTCTTGATGCTGGAGGTATTTTCGAGCTATCCAAGGTTATTCTTCAAGAAGATCCTCAGCCACCTCTTGAGCTGTGGGAGTCAGCTGCTTTTGTTCTCTCCAATGTTCTACAGTATGATGCAGAATGCTTTTTCAGAGTCGAGCTACCAGTTTTAGTGAAGTTGTTGTTCTCGACAATCGAAAGCACAGTGATGCTGGCTCTTAAAGCATTGATGATTCATGAGAAGAACGATTCTTCAAGCACCGTAAAAATGGCTGAGCTTGGCGCAATCGATGCATTACTGGACCTCCTGAGATCTCATCAATGCGAGGAAGAATCGGGAAGCTTACTTGAAGTAATATTTAACAACCCGAGGGTAAGAGAGTTAAAGCTATGCAAATATGCGATAGCACCACTCTCTCAATATCTATTGGATCCTCAGACAAAATCAGACTCTGGTAGACTTCTTGCTGCTCTAGCACTTGGGGACCTTTCTCAGCATGAAAGGCTTTCTAGATCCAGTGGTTCTGTTTCTGCTTGCCGTGCACTCATTAGCGTGCTAGAAGAACAACCGACAGAAGAAATGAAAGTGGTGGCCATCTGTGCGTTGCAGAATTTTGTGATGAATAGTAGAACGAATAGGCGAGCAGTTGCAGAGGCTGGTGGCGTATTGTTAATTCAGGAGCTATTGCTTTCTTGCAATGCAGAAGTTTCTGGGCAGGCTGCACTGATGGTCAAGTTTTTGTTCTCCAACCACACACTCCAAGAATATGTCTCGAATGAGCTTATAAGATCATTAACGGGTACCTTTCAATTTTAAAATTTACGTTTATAATCCTATGTCCCTGCCACTCTTGCAATAAAGTGCTAGCGTTTCCTCAGGGCCTTTGTTCCAGATTTTTTTTTTTTTTTTTTTTAATATTCTGATGATGCCTTTGCTCGTATCTTCAATTGTTGTTGAGCAGCTGCACTTGAGAGAGGCTTGTGGTCTACAGCAACAATCAATATCGAAGTTTTGAGAACCTTAAATGTGATATTCTCCAATTTTCCTAAGCTCCGTGCCTCAGAAGCTGCTACGTTCTGCATCCCTCATTTGGTCGGGGCACTCAAGTCTGGTGTTGAAGATGTCCAGGGATTAGTATTGGAAATTCTCTACTTGCTAAGACACTCGTGGACAAATATGGCTATAGATGTTGCAAAGTCTCAAGCCATGATTGCAGCTGAAGCAATTCCCGTCCTGCAAATGTTGATGAAAACATGCCCGCCTAGGTTCCATGACAAGGCAGACAGCCTATTGCACTGCTTACCAGGTTGCTTAACAGTGAACGTTATGCGTGCAAATAACTTAAAGCAGTCTATGGGGACCACAAACGCCTTTTGTCAATTAACAATAGGAAACTGCCCTCCACGCCAAACTAAGGTAAACCTTATTCATATAGTCTCCATTGCCAATAACATTTTTCTTTGTACATAATGGGTTTTGTCTCGTTTACTCCAGATTGTGAGCAATAGCACTTCTCCTGAGTGGAAAGAAGGCTTTACTTGGGGATTTGATGTTCCCCCCAAAGGACAAAAGCTTCACATCATATGCAAGAGCAAAAGCACATTCGGGAAGGTAACATTGTAATCTTAATTGCAGAGTTGGAATTTGAAAGAGATCTTCGATATGTTATATCTAGTTAACTGGTCTTTTTGTAACACAGAATACATTCCTTTTTTTTTTCTGCAGACAACTCTAGGCCGTGTCACTATCCAAATCGACAAAGTCGTGACTGAAGGAGTGTACAATGGATCACTAAGCCTGAATCATGAAAACAGCAAAGATGCTTCTTCCAGATCACTGGACATTGAGATTGCATGGTCCAATAGAACAACAGATGACACTCTTTGATGGATAAAACAACTCCAATTTCACAAGCACATTGCAGCTCGTCAACTGTCTAATGGTTGCATTTTGGTAGGAGAAGAACGAAAGCGAAGTCTGCAGCAGATGTATAGCAAATACGTGTATATGAGTAATGAGTAATGGTGTGTGGAAAGGAACGTATAAGCAAAGAGTTCCTACGTAGCAAGAAACAGAGCCTTTTGTATAGTTTGTTTCTCTTCTTATTCTATTTCTTTATTGGCTTCGATGCGCTATGTATTGTCAGTTTGTTTATGGAAACTCTTTCGCTCGGGGATCAGCTAAGCAGCACGAAGTGCTCTGATTCCTGCAGCGATGTTTTATTATACCATTGTTTTGCCTGATTTCATACGAGTAACCAATATCACACCTGCAACGTCTTTCCTTCTAGAAGTATATATTAAGATGAGTCCGGTTCAGGTACGATATGACCTATATGTATCCAAAAGAAACCGCATACATGATACATATGACTGAAACATGCTCTCAAAATTTTGAGAGACATAGATTCTACACCAAACTACTTATGTAATGAGCCTCTGTAAATATCTAATGGTTGAAACATTTATAATATATATAAATAAAAGTGCACAAGTTTCATCATAGTAGAATTCAGCATATCTTTATACCGACCGGTATGTTTCGAATTTTTTTGAACCATGTTTCAATATGTTGCTGTTGGTATGGACACATCAGTTCACTCTTTTTCTCTAAGTATGTTACTCGTTTTGTTCATTAATAAAGTAGAATACATTTTGATCGAGGAATTGAAACTTTCAAAATAAGCAGACATCACCGAGGTAAAACATTCTTGTTTTGTTGAGTTAAAAACCAACTCATACAAAGCTACTGCGGGTAAAAAAAAAAACACAGAGTGTTTACTTTGCTGCAGCAACCAAGGCAGACCGGGCGTGTGTGAAAGTAGAAATAATAGCTCCAAGCTGCAGTTTGTCGTTGCATCCAAAACTCAATCTGTACCTATAAACCCGTAAAAAAAAAACGACTTGAAATAAATAATCACAACAAGCTAACACTCTACTCCAGGCATTTTAGAATTAACCAATCTGCAAAGTTTTTATAACAAGATATTGGCAAAAGATACTTACTCGATGTCTGCCAAATCGTTTATCAGTTGAACTCTGACATTTGATGGCATGCTGATCTTAAAAACAAACCTGATGGAGAAACAAGAGTTAGTTCTCAGACGCCCACAGATAACACACAAGTAGAAAGTATGTCACTCACATGGTAACCTCTCTGACGATATCAACAATGGCAAGTCCTTTTCTCGTCTTCATCTCTGATATATCTGCAGAGAGTGAAAATAACAATCAAGATCCAGGAAAATTTGAAATCAATTTACCTATAGTACATAAAATACGATATAAGTTATGGTTTACATACTTTTGTAGCTCTCAGCAAATGGTTCATTCAGAAGCCAGTGAGATATCTGCTCAATGTCCATGGGTAGTGGGTTTCCAGTGCAGAGGTAAACCTCTTCCTCTGTAATTTTCTCTGACGCCATATTCGTTGACTGCCCACACACACATTAACCCGTTAGACGTTCTTCTGTAGATTTACAATTGTACATTAGGAGACAGAATCTGCAAAAGGAGACATTTACAGAACCTGCAAAATGTTCATGGCTTTTCGCATGTCTCCATTGCTCAGCCGTACAAGAGCCGCCAAACCACTCTCACTTACATCAAGCCTAGTCCAATTAAAAATAAAAATAATCAACAAAGAGAAGGGTGGAGAAAAAAACAGCAACAAAATCGTTTCTAAGAAAGAGATAACTTTTATTCTCACCCTTCAGCTTCGATGACATGTTTAAGACGTTGACTCACATGAACAGGATCAAGAGGGGCAAATCTAAATCGGGTACATCTGGACTGTAGAGCTGGGATGATCTTATTGACATGGTTTCCAATGAGCGCAAACCTAGTACTCTTCGTGTATTTCTCAATCACTTGCCAAATTTAAGAAAATAAGCATGCCAAACATGTTAGTACCGTACTTAAACAGAAAAACTGAGAGCTAGGAATAAGATAAAGTTTTACCTCTACGCAGAGCAAACTGAGCGTCTTTTGTCATGGCATCTGCTTCATCTAGCAGAACCAACTTAACCGAAGACTTTCCTCTGCAACCATGATTTTTTATTTTTTTAATAGACAACAAACTTGCTACACAAAAGAATATCTTGTTCTACTTAGCATGATGCTACACTTAAACATAGCTCAAGCCACGCAATTGCATTCCATATTATAAGGTAAAGAAAACAATTTGATGCATTCAAATACTATGATAAACAAACCAAGAAATCAAAAGCACAGATGGAATCACGCACAGTGAGAAGCTCTGCGTGCTAGCGAAATCTTGAATCTGCTGCCTTACAACATCAATTCCTCTATCATCTGAGGCGTTCAGTTCAAGAATCATATTACGGTACTTTGGTCCATACAGTTTCCTGGCAACCGCTAGAATGGTCGATGTTTTGCCTGTACCGGGAGGACCATACAACAGAAGATGGGGCAGTTTGTTCTCATTGGTCAGCCTATCAACTGTTTTCAAATCACCAAAAAAAAAAACAAAAATCAGAAGCTTCAATGAGCAATTAGTCTAGATAATTTGATAGACTTTGTAGAAACAAAGTCAGTTTTCAATTCAGCAACACAAAGCCTTGGCTTATCAATATAAGAAGCACAATGCCATAATTCAAATAGTTTTGTAAGTAGAAAAATACCCAAAATCTCAAACCACAATCTTTTAGGCTTTTTCAGAAATCTCTCCATGGATAAATAGAAAACTGTAAATAGAACTAAATCCCTAAAATTGGAAAAGAAAACCCTAGGTGGTGAGAATAGAGAGGGAGAGAGTGTGTAAGTTCAATTACTCGTATCAATAATGTCACGATGTGCTGCGACATCATCTAGCGACTGAGGTCGATACTTCTCGACCCAAGGCGTCGCCTTACTCTGCGGCGGACCACCAAAACCGGCGATGTCTTTGCCCTTGTTACTCGGCTTGCGAGAATGATTTTCGTCTACGTCAATGTCCATCGCAGATGTTATATCAGTCATCTTCGCCGCCGAAAAACGAAAATTGCTTCGGAATCTCTCTCACTCAGCCCTCTTTTCACTCTTTCTCTCTCGCTGATGGCGCCAAGCTCCAATTTTTGAGGTTTCCTTCCTCCGCCATTTTGTCTACTCGTTATTTCCCATTTTACCCTCAAGAAATGAATTGTGCTTGGGCTTATATCCTAGAGAACAAAAGCCCAACTCAATTGTATCCGAAATTCAAAATATATGTGAAATATACTGTAGAAAAATTAAATTAGATTAAAACATGTTTTACTCATATCCATCAGCTTCAAAGTAAGAATATTATTTCAACATTTATAACATATTTGACTTGTTTGTTTTTATATTTTACAAATATAATTTACAGAAATTAAAAGTTCATGTAGGCTTAAAGAGCAAAATCTGTAGAAAAATTAGGATATGAGTTACATGCGTAGAGAAAAGTTTTTAAGCATTCTCTACTTCACATCTCTCTTACACCAGACTCAAATACCTCACTCAGAGAAGGAAAGTTTTCATATCTTGCTGGAACACTGCACTTTGCTCTTCAAAGATTTGATTCTTCTTTTTTTTTTTTTTTCATTATATGTTTACATCTGATGACATATGATACACAAGGGGTATATATATTCACAAAATATTTCCTTGTTTCTATGATAACCGCATAACCTCAAAAAGTTTTTACTTTTTTTTTTTTATTATTAGAACGACTAAAAACTCTTCTCTGTGTCATAGCTCTCCATCTGAGACCAAGTTCTTGTTTTTAGAAGAATCAGTTCCTGAGAAAAGCCCTCCTAGAAAACCAAACCCTCTTGGATATGCCTCCTCCGACAAATTTTCTCCGTAGTCTTGATCCAAACTGTTAAGAAAAAAAAGGCAAAAATAGAAAGAATAAGAAAAGCAGAGTTGTATTTTATAGATTTGGATGAAACTGGAGGAAGACAACAACTAGAAAGAAAGGTGAAAAAGGTTCAGAACTTAGGAAGCTTGTTACAGTCTGAAGGAATCCATCCAATCCTCTGCTTCTCATTGTCGTAGATCACCATTATCCCTTGGAAAAATATGTCTGTCACACAAATAGCCATCAGATATTGTTGTCAAGTGATGAACATAGACAAACCAAGAACATTTAAGACCGGAAACTTAGCATATCTATTTGCTTACCTCCAATGATATTGTAGTTTTCGAGCCCGATTTCAGTTCCATTTAGAATACCCAAACACACGTTTCCGTTTTCCTGAAAACCCAAAACGAAGAAACAAACTCTCAGCCATGGATTTTTATGGAGATTATAGTCAATAATATAGTCAGTATAGACGTGACTCACAGTGATAATGAGATATGACTCAGGTGGAACATGAAATAGCTGACCACTTTTTTGACTCCCAAATCGTAAAGTAATCGTCTTGAAGTATTTCTTGACATCATGAACTGATTTCAAAGGTTTTTTGTCTTTCCAACAGACCGGTAAGCTTTTATCTTCTTTTGCGTCCATCAAAGCCTTCCCCTTAACGTCTTTTCTTATCTGCAAGAGATATACACATACCAATTTAGTCATAAAATTGTGGTAAAACACAACTGGTGAAACTAATCTTTTTTTTTCTTTCAGAGAAGAAACTGTCTCTTACAAGATCGAGAATTGCTTTGTATGCTTCAGCATTGAAGTAAGTGTACGAGCTTCCACTATCAAAAACTAAGTTAATGCCTTTGACACCTGTAGTCTTGTCGTTAAAGAGAAGCTCTGCTGGTCCAGTCATGTAGTTTTTACTAAAGAAAACAGAACAGTCGCACCATGAGTTCCAACTTGGGAATTAAAAAAGTTAAGTGACAAAGAAGATGATGCTCAAAGGTTGCTCACCTAGGTGAATTACGAGCCAATGAAGTCCATGTAACGCCAGAAGAAGGAACAAGCTCATCTCCGATAGAGAGAAAGCCTTTACCATTATGATTGAAGCAATGTACAATCACATTCTTTGTTACCCCCAAGGAACTAAGCTGTGATGAGATGCTTATTTTGCCTCTGCCAAGGCCAAGGATTCCTGCTGTTGGGGGAGGAGGGTGTGGACCAGGGTTCTGCTGATCATACCCACATCTGAAAAGTGAAATCCATTCAAAAATCACCAACTTTTACAGCCCACCTATTCAGTGTCTTTTATCTTTCTTTAGAATGTGTGGGAAAACTAACCCAAATGTCAAATGGGGATGCATAGTGGAGCCATTTTCGAGTCTCAGAGGAAACTCATCAGTAACGAGAGCCCCAACAGACGATGCATGATCAGAATACCCAATTTCATAGTCACACTGATCGTCAGGGTCAGCACAAGGTCTGCTCTGGGGAAGGTCTAGGCCAGAACACAAGAGGTGTGAACAAGGCAAAGTGTTGCGATTAGGCTTGTACTGATTAGCAAGAGGCTGCACAGGAAGAGACAGATAGATTCTAGATTCAAAAAAGACCTTTTCTTATTATGTCACACACTAAAAAATGCAAATCAAAGTTATACCTTTGTGCATCCGTTGCAGGGTGCATCACATTGAACCCAAGTGAGGTCACTGCCAGTGTCAATGTCCAAGTCAAAGAGCTTTGGTGGGTTTCCTATATTAAGCAACACATAATAGTACCTGAAAAAACCCCGTAGAAGAAAAAGATGAATTCGTGAAAGGAGCCAAAAATGACTTCAAGTGCAAACAAGAACTTAAGCAATCAAATTGGGCGTTTAAAATCTAAGTGGATCTCGGAATCACATTGCCAAAAAACCTGCAATTTGAAATCCCCTCACATCAATAGAATCAAGAATTCACATTAAAAGTTTTCTTCTCAAGCATTTGATTGATTCCCCACAGATGCAAGAAGCACAAAGTTTCCGCACCAAACCCAAAATCCAGACATGAGTCGAGAATCCCGAAACAGAAATCAAACGGAGAAGATCCAACTCGCAAATGGGTCACTAGAAACTACCGAGAAAAGGAGAGATTCAAACAAAAGATGTGAAATTTCCACAGAGAGATCAGCTTACCCAAGAGGGTAAACGTTCCCGGAGACAGGAAACACGATAGAGGAGCCAAGTCGATGATTCTGTAACTTGACCTGTCGAACTGACGAATCTTTGGTAGCTTCTGAGGGTTGAAAGCGAGCAGAGAGGACGAGCAAATAGATGAAGAAGAAGAAGTAAACCCCTGGGAACAGCTTTCTTGTCTCCCTTTTCGGATTCATCATTTCCTTTTCCCCAAGAAAGCGAAACCAAATCCCGAGAAAGTTTCCCTTTTGAAGAAGAAAAGTTGACACCAGGCAACAGAAAGGAGGCTTCTTTAGGAATTCTCACTCAATTTCTTGCAAGTTGCTACAGAGGTTTTTAAGTCCCCGTAAGCTAATTGAGAAGATTGGACTTTGGCTCAAAAATCTCAACGCGCAACGCTCACTGACCCGTGTAAAGCACGCGCGAAGCACAATTGATTCAAAAACCGATGAGTTTTATTCAGATGTACTAGGCCCAACATGCTCGGCCCATAAACTCTAGAAAAATACTAATTTCCTTAATTGTTTTTTAATCAAGTTTATATAACTTTTAGAAAATTCAATTTTTCCACTGTCTTCTATAATTTCTCTAACCATTTCTGAGTGAATTCTATATCAGATTTTTTTTCTTCTAATAATTCAAAAAAAAAACTTTCACAGGAATTGGCTATTTTTGGTTGTGAAGGCGCGTGAGGATCACTTGTCAATTAGTAGATAGATACAAGGAGCGTGAGAATCACTTGCGAATTAGGTGATAGAAGATATCGTTATCCAGTTTCGAGTGAGTGACTCCAAATACATCCAACTGGCAAAGGCATCGCTTTAAGTCACTGACACATGTCTTCTTAGTTTCTTCTCCTCCGCCGTTTCGCCGCCGTAGACAAAATGGCTTTTTCTCTCTCCGCCGCTTCTCACTCATCACTCTGCTCCTCCGCCTCCACCAAAGTCTCTCTTTCCCCCGCCGTCTCTTCCTCAGCCCCTCTCGTTGCTCTTTCTTCCTCTTCATCACAACCACATTCTTTCTCTTCTCTCCGAAGCGTCAAATCTTCCTCTCTATTTCCACATTTCTCCTTTACTCAGGTAATCAATCGCCGAATTTCGGTTTCGGAATCAGAAGAAATTTGTAAAGTTTAACAATTTGTGTTGGTTACAGAGAAAATATCCGATTAATGGGACGAAGAACAGAGGTTGTAGCACGAAATGTGCCGCCTCTGATGCAGCTCAATTGAGAAGCGCTAAAGAAGATATCAAAGTTCTTCTCCGGACAAAGTTTTGCCATCCGATATTCGTTGAGTATCCTTTGTCTTCTTCTTCTTCTTCTTCTTCTTCTTCTTCTTATCCCTTGATTTTGAAGAATTGAAATTCTTGTGCTTTTGTCTTTTGACAAATATTTACATTTTGCAGGTCAGGTTGGGATGGCACGATGCTGGCACATATAACAAGAACATCGAGGAGTGGCCACAGAGAGGTGGAGCTAATGGAAGTCTTAGATTTGAGGCTGAGCTTAAGCATGCTGCAAATGCTGGTATACACTTGTTTTGTCTTTAGCCTCCTCAAGACTTGCTTTTGTTTTACCGCTTTTTCATCTTTACATTCTACAGGTCTCATTAGTGCGTTAAATCTAATTCAGCCTATCAAAGACAAGTATTCTAACATCTCTTACGCCGACTTATTCCAGTTAGCTAGTGCCACTGCAGTGGAGGTCGTCCTAAAAGTTTACATTATTCTGAATTAGCTAGTGTGATACTAAGTTGGTCTTGAAAATTTACTGATAACTTTAGATAAAAAAAAAACTTCAGGAGGCTGGTGGTCCTGAGATCCCGATGAAATATGGGAGAGTTGATGTCTCGGTACCAGACCAATGTCCAGAAGAAGGAAGACTCCCTGGTTAAACTAATCTTTTAGCATTGTCTGTTTTCTTGGCTTCGATTGAGTTTGTTTTCAGATTTTGTTTATGGAATAATTGAAATAACGAGGGTGAAAATTTATGTTATGTTTAGATGCTGGACCGCCTTCACCAGCTGATCATTTGAGAGATGTATTCTACAGAATGGGACTCAATGATCAGGTCGTTTTTTTTTTTTTTTTGTCTCATTTTCTGTTGCTCATGTCAAACAGGAATTACTCTCATTTTTTTATGCTGACAGTCGAATGTTGTTTTTTTCAAGCAGGAGATTGTTGCCTTATCTGGTGCACATACCCTAGGAAGAGCCAGACCAGAACGTAGCGGTTGGGGAAAACCTGAGACAAAGTACACGGTATATACATATTGAATAAACGACAAAACGTAAAGCTCTCTTATAATAGTGGTCGTAGCGATGACAGTGTAGAGATCTTATGTAAACGTTCAAAACTGGCAGAAAACTGGACCTGGAGAAGCAGGGGGACAGTCTTGGACGGTGAAATGGCTTAAGTTTGACAATTCCTATTTCAAGGTCTACCTCTCTATCTCTGTCTGTCTTAAGTAGCTTGGACTGGGGAATGAAGAAGAGTTTTTCAACAAGTTAATATATATGAATAAGATCCTCAGTTTCTTAGTTGTATGACTTGCAGGATATCAAAGAAAAGAGGGACGAAGATCTTCTCGTGTTACCAACTGATGCTGCGCTATTTGAAGATCCTTCATTCAAGGTTAACAAAACCAGTGATAAGATGCCACAGAACTAGTAGTTCCTACTCTCTTTTTTTGACACTTTGTTTTTTGTACAGAACTATGCAGAGAAGTATGCTGAAGATCCGGCTGCATTTTTCAAGGATTACGCTGAAGCTCATGCCAAGCTCAGCAATCTCGGGGCTAAATTTGATCCTCCTGAGGTACATCTTAAAGACAATAATCTTATCTCGAGCCACTAGTGTTAACTATGCGTTTTAAATCCAGTTCAGTGACTTAACCAACATTAAACATAGTCTAAAACTGCTAATGTTGCTGTTAATCAGGGTATCATCATTGACAACGACCCTGCACAAGGAACTCCAGAGAAGTTCGTAGCCGCTAAGTATTCCACTGGAAAGGTTTGTCTTTAGTACACAAGAGAAAAAAGTGTTTGTAGCTTACTGTAATATACATTTTTTGAGGAGATTGATTCTTTTTTTTCTAAATAGAAGGAGCTTTCGGAGTCAATGAAGAAGAAGATAAGAGCAGAGTATGAAGCAATTGGAGGAAGCCCAAATAAGCCCTTACCCACTAATTACTTCCTCAACATCATTATCGCCATCAGCGTTTTGGTCCTCTTGTTCACTTTCTTTGGTAATAACAACTCCGATTACTCTGGTTTCTAATTGCATAAATTAGAAAAAGTATATATATTTTTGATTTATCTTACCTGTATACATAAGGGTTCACGTGGTGTTCATATATATATATATATATATATATTCTTTGCAAACGAACACATCACTGTTATATAGTTTGCATTGATTAAAATGTTTTTGAGAGCAGTGTGTTAATCGCTGTTACGCATATGCACGACTATAATTGTGGAGATTAAAATAAAGTTTTATCGATAGACCTTTCTTTAGATTCATCCAAGATTCTTCCTACTTAAAAAAAAAAGAAAGTCTTCTCTCGTGGATTAGGTTAACCATCGTACTTGTTTCTAATTCTATACGAACACAAGGTATTAAAAAATTACTCCACTAACTTAGATGATGAACTTTTCAAGATTGCAACACCACGTGCGACATGGACGTGCAAAGTGATGCTCGATGTATCTCATGAATATTTACTTGTTGGGAATATCAATGTTTCCTTTACAACAACCAAAGTTTGATTATGATTCAATATTAAATTATGAATGGTTGGTATGGAAAACGATTTTCCTACCTCTCTAATGACGCAAGAAGCTTACGATGAGCCGATGGGGTTGTTCAGACTCATTCCCATTGTTCTATAATCGATATCTGAAACCTTTTTTTCTTTTCTTTCTATTGTATTTGTATATTATAAAATGTGATCATATTTTCTCGTTTGTTATGACGAAATCAGAGCTAACTAAAGAGAAAGCAAGTGCCAATCATGTAACTTTAAGGGATAAAATTAATTTTGAGGACAAAAACGAAAGATTAAGTTATGATTTGGTCGTTTGGTGATTAGGATAAGGAGGTGGTGCATGTGAATTGGATTTGGAAGCACCTGTCTTCCTTTTTTACCCAACAGTCTCAATGTCTCATGTTATTTATATGCATTATTGTTACAATTTCTTTATCAAAAAAAAAAAGCATTATTGTTAGTTGTTACAAATTTAAAAATAATGAAACTTCGGTTGAAAAAGGGACGATATCTACTAATTTACATTTTGATTCTCTTAAACACTTGCATAAAAAAAAAGTTCAATACGCCCCCTAGTGATACAAACGGCTTAAATACTGTTTGATCTCTTTTATCTTTTCAGTATGAGAAAAGAAAAAAAGTTTGAAGAGTGTGACTATCAAATTGTAAAAATGAATCCTCAGCGACATTAAGATGTGGGGAGATATGCAACTGAAATTAAGAGAACAAGGGGTCATTGGGAATGGACCAATACAAAAAAAAAAAAAGATTCACAATATCCGATTTATTTGCCTTTTTTTTTGGTAATCTATAATCCATTTTTCTTGTCTTTTCCTAATTTTACAAGCAATCCAAATGATGGAATCTATTTTGTCTATGTGTGTTATATAGTCTTATAGAACGAAAAAGCTTTAATCTACCACTTTTGGACATGTATGTACAAATTGTATACCGCAGTATCGTGTTGTGTGCACAAAGATAGAAATATTGGCAAAATTGGTAAGGGCTACGATTAAATAAATCTTTATATTAGGGTAGAAATGGTTAAAAAGAAAAAAAACAAATACAGTATCTCTTCTTTTTCACTTCTTTTTCTCCCGGTGAATTGCGAAGAATTTCAGAGAAAAAAAAAAACAATGTCAGTTTTTATATACTTTTATTTGCATTCCTCGTAGTCGTCGCTCCCACTTTCTTCTTCCCCAATTAAATTTGCAATTAATATTTTACCCAGATCCCCTAGCTTTCGCACATCTCTATCTACTGAAAGAAATTTAGTAAAGCTAAATTATTTGCAACACGACAGGCTTTTCTTTTGTTTTCTTTCTCTTGTCTCTTTCCTCTGATTCGTGTATTCACGTTTCACATAAATCAGCAGCCATGGATTCTTCTGTTCCTTTCTCTGTCACTCATGCACGTGTTTATGTATAAAAATTCGTCTATACACGAGAACAAAGGGCTCTTCAAACACAGTTTTGCTCTGTTTCTTCGAAGAAAAATTGCTCTCTTCTTCCGATTTTTCCGAACAAACCCCTGAGATTTTGCTTCTTAGTGATGGTTGCTCCATGTCCGATGATGAATTATCGGGCTGGAAGCAGAATGAGACTCCTCTGAGAACGTTCTCTGTTCTTAAAATCAAATGGGTTGCGGAGGATCTAAGGTAGATGATAAGCAGCTTGTGATTCTTTGTAGAGAGCGCAAGGAACTGATTAAAGCGGCGTCGCATCATCGCTCTGCTCTCGCCGTCGCTCACCTCGTTTACTTCCAGTCTCTCTCCGACGTCGGCGAAGCTATTCAACGTTTCGTCGACGAGGAAATCGCAGTTGGTTCTTCGTCGTCTTATTCGCCGGATTCTCCTGTTCTTACACTGCCGTCCGACGAAGGGAAGCCGAAGAAACACGAGGGCTCGATTTCTTCAACCTCGATTTCTCATTCAGTCATCGAAGACAGACGAGAACTCGAGCAAGAAGATACAGAGGATTCACATTTGCATCTATCGTCCGGATCTGAATCCGAATCGGGATCTGAAGCTGGATCTCATATCCAAATTGACAGCACTCCGGAACAAGAGCTAAACCGGTCAACCGAAACATTTTCCTCCGGTTATCCAACTGGCTATGCTCCACCGGGTTATCCATCGGGTTATCCACCGGGTTACCCATACGCGGTTGGAGGATGGGGATTCGCTGGTAACGCGAATCCAGGTATGTATTTCATGAAGAAATCTGCGCCACCATCTCGACCGTTCATATTTCAGCCGGAAAATCACCGAGTGGAGCCGTCGGGTTCTGGGTTCGGATTCTCGGGTTATTCCCCTAATCCTGGGTTTTCCGGTTACCCTCCTCCTCCAAGCTCAGGAATCCAACGGAGACCGCCGTCTCCGGCGCCTCCATCACCACCTACGGTTTCCACTTGGGATTTCCTGAATGTGTTTGATGCCTATGATTATAGCCACCGTGCTTCGAGCTACTATCCGCCGGGAATGGCGTCAATCTCGAGTAGCCCTGATTCCAAGGAAGTTAGAGAGAGGGAAGGGATTCCTGAGCTGGAGGAAGAATCAGAGCACGAAGTGATCAAGCAAGCATATAGACGTCCTAAGAGACCAGGGTTGGAGAAGGTCAAAGAACACAGAGACGAGCGCAAGAACAACAATTTCCCTGAGCGCAGAAGAGGCTATGTTGGCAAAGAAACTCCCAAGGCAGAGCCAATGCCGGAAAGAGTCACTGAGAGCTCCGTCGACTCAGAGACAGTGTCTTCGTTTTCAGGAAGTGATGTAGAATCTGAGTTTCACTATGTTAAGAGCGGTGAGGGAAAGAGCAGCAACAGTTCAAACGGTCACGAGACGATCATGGGAACGAAGAGCTCGGGAGAAGTAGAAGATGAGTATGGGAGGAAGAAAGGAGTGAGCTTTGAGTTGGAGGAGACGAGCTCTTCCTCTTTTGATGTTGAATCCTCTAAGATTAGTAGCCTATCCAGTTTGTCGATCCATGCCACTAGAGAACTCAGAGAAGTTGTCAAGGAGATCAAGAGTGAATTCGAGATTGCTTCTTCGTATGGGAAGGAGGTTGCTGTGTTACTTGAGGTCAGCAAGTTACCTTATCAGCATAAAAACAGTGGCTTTAAAGGTAACCGTGTCTTCACTCATGTCTTACCTGTCTGAGATTCTGTACTCTTGAATCATTTGCGTTTCGGTATATAGATACAGTTTTACAAATCAAATGAAACCATCTGCTTTGCAACCGTGCCTTCAAATTTTGCAATGTTATCTCATGTTTTGGAAGTAATGTTTTAAACAAAATGTTTTATTTCAGTTATTTTATCCAGAATCATGTATCTGGTAGCACCATCCACGCGCTCTCAGCCCGAACGACCAATACGGTTAACATCTAGGACACTGAAAATGGCGAAAGCATATAACGGAGAAGATGTTAATGGAGGCTTCAATGGAAACCTTTCATCAACCTTGGAGAAACTGTATGCGTGGGAAAAGAAATTGTACACGGAAGTCAAGGTATTGATGCTTACGAATCTCCAATGTGATTTAGCTATTCTTTTTTATTCTTGCATCTCGTTACATTGTGATTCGTGTTTGATGGCAGGACGAAGAAAAGCTCCGTGCCATCTATGAAGAGAAGTGCAAGACACTGAAAAAAATGGATAGTCTTGGAGCTGAATCTAGCAAGATCGACGCTACTCGAGCATATATCAGGAAGCTTCTGACCAAAATAGATATCTCTATAAGATCTATTGATTCTATTTCCAATAGAATCCATAAACTCAGAGATGAAGAATTGCAGCCACAAATCACACAGTTAATTTATGGGTACATCAACTTTTATCCATTTTTGATATCTACATACAGATTAGTAAGCTGTAAGAAAACTGACACTTGTTCTATGAAGGTTGATAAGAATGTGGAGATCGATGCTCAAGTGCCACCAGAAACAGTTCAAGGCAATCATGGAGAGCAAGGTTCGATCTGTGAAGGCGAACACCGTCTTACAAAGAGACTCTGGTTCGAGAGCAATTCTTGATCTTGAGATGGAGCTTAGAGAATGGTGCAAGAGCTTCAACGACTGGATCAACACTCAGAAATCATACGTCCAGTCTCTAAACGGATGGCTCTCGAGATGCCTTCACTATGAACCCGAGGCAACAGAGGACGGAATCGCTCCTTTCTCTCCTAGCCAGATTGGCGCGCCTCCCGTTTTTATCATATGCAAAGATTGGCAAGAAGCAATGGGAAGAATATCTGGAGAGAATGTGAGCAATGCAATGCAAGGTTTCGCGTCAAGCCTACACGAGCTATGGGAGAAGCAAGAGGAAGAAGAACAAAGGATAAAAGCGGAACTTGAGCATCGAGATGCGGAGTCAGACAAAAGAAGCGTGGTTTCGAGAGGTCGGTCAGAGAGTGCGATATCGGTGTTGGATGATCTGAAAGTGGATTTAGATTCGATGAGGAAGAAGCTAGTAGATGAGAGAGGCAAGGGTAAAGAAAATATCAAGCTTGTGAACAATGCGTCTTCGAGTAGCTTGAAAGCTGGTTTAGTTCCCATTTTTGGTGCATTGAGAAAATTCACCGCAGGAGTTGTGAAAGCTCATGAAGTTGTTAGGCTTCAACATCCTCAGACTTCTTCTTGAGTAGAGAGTGTGGACCTTTTTGCCACAGTTCGCACCGTTTTGAAGTTTTGTTACCACAAAAAAAAAAAAAATAGATATACTGTAGGTTCATATAGGCAATTGCCGTATAGAATAAGTTTTAATATTCATTTATTGGTTGGTTAGGTGTTATTTAGTTTGCTTTGTAATCCGGTTCAAATTGCGAAGAGAAATTATCCAGTTTTGGATATTTAAATTACTTAGAGGATATTGAAATTATTTACTTATATGCGCCCATTTTTTTGAATAGAAAATGGTAAATGATCAATCATAGCTTAGGAAAGATTACAAGAGTATCAAGGATTTCAAAAAGAAAATAGTATACATGAACATTGTGTCTTGGTGAGGATATATGTATGTAGAACAGATCAGAAGAGAATATGGTTAGGCATGACCATATAAAACTAATCTATTATCAATTGGTTACTATTGGATCGTTGTTTTGAAAAGAAAAGAAAAAAAACTACATATGATCCCATAAGGTACTGCTGAATTTTTATTGAAAACAAATACGATCGTAAAATGTTCAGCCTTGCAGGCAATGGGTTCAAACTTTTGACAAGTTTAGATGCATAAACTAGAAAAGTCTCAAGAATGTCCATGTTTTGGATTCGTTTATAGTCTGTTATGTGCATTACGGTCTACATGTTATTTCATTCATTACCGGAAATTATATCCATCTGTTATAGATGAACAAAATCGGTTTTTCTATGATACAAAGTGGGATACATTTCCAAATTGTTTTGAAAGAAAATTGTAAGAGCACTGTTCATATAGGGGTATGTTGCCATTGTGAAGCAATATGGCAACATATTGACAGAAGAAGAGAAAATGTGTTAGGCATCATCTATGGGAGTATTGTTATTATTATACTAATCCTGGCGAATCATCAAAGTCAAACCTACATTTAACTTTTTAATTCTTAAGGGCTAATATTGTAAGAGAAATGTTAAAAAATTGGTAAGAGCAATGTTGCCATTGTGAAGCAATATGGCAACATAGAAACAGAGGGAGAGAATATGTGTTAGGCACCATCTATGGGAGTATTAGATTAATCCATGTCGAATTATCGAAGTCAAACCTACGTTACATTTTTTAGTCATCCATTTTAAAAAAAAAAAGAGAATTAATTTTTATTTTGACCCAGTGGGGGACCAAAACTACTAAGAGACGATCAATTAGAAAGTGCCACGTGGTTTCCACAAGGTAAAATTTAGAAATGGTTTTCCTTGACAATTTTGTGGAATCCTCATTATGATTTCCACAAGCTGGATAAGGAAGTAAATCATGAAATATTTAATAACCGATGTGGTCAATAGTCAATAAAATTCGTTTCCAAGTTAGTAAAAAAAAAAACAATGACGAGGTGTATCCAATGAAAACTGGCCATGTGTATTTCTGACCATTTAGGACACAGCGTTTTCGTAATTTGACTAATTTTCCAGTGTAAAAAAAACGCTAATATAAATACAGCTTCTCGTTTCAGTGCTTCCTCTGAGACACAAAAACAAAGAGGATATTACGTTGGTGCAGAGTAGGAAGAGAGCGATAATGGCGTTTAAGGGTTTCGCGTGGTTTTCGATCCTTTTGTTATCTTTGTTCGCTTCGTCCATAAGAAGCGAACAGTCGGAGACGAAGGAATTCGTCTTGACTCTGGATCACTCTAACTTCACCGAAACCATCAACAAGCACGACTTCATCGTTGTCGAGTTCTACGCCCCCTGGTAATTACTTTCTTTCTCCGGTTTCTTAATCTTAATCGAGAGATCTCTGTTGACATTGATTGTGTTTCGAGTGTTGATTGGTTTCCATAGGCATTTGTTTTGTCGCAATTGTGGATTTGGGTCAATGATTCTTAATTTATGTTCGTCTGTAATTGATGCGTGAAATCATATCATCTTAAAAATCTCTGTTATGCTAATTTTCAGGTGTGGTCACTGCCAGAAGCTTGCTCCCGAGGTGATATATTGGTTTTTCAATTACTTAATTAGATGAACTTAAACATTGCTAAACTAATGCAGCTTAAGACTAACACGGGCGATATTTGCTTGCATACAGTACGAGAAGGCTGCAGCAGAGTTGAGAAGCCATGATCCTCCCCTCGTTCTCGCCAAGATTGATGCTAGTCAGGAATCAAACAAAGAATTTGCAAAAGAGTACAAGATTCAGGGTTTCCCCACTATTAAGATTCTGAGAAATGGAGGAAAATCAATTCAAGATTACAACGGACCTCGTGAGGCTGAGGGTATTGTAACTTACCTGAAGAAGCAAAGTGGACCTGCTTCAGTTGAAATTAAGTCAGCTGCTGCTGCTTCTGAGGTTGTGGGTGACAAGAATGTTGTTGCTGTAAGTGCCTCTGATGTTATTCCATTTTGGAAAAAGAAAAAAATACTTTCTTTTCCATTGATTCATCATGTCTTGCAGCTGTTGATGTCTATTTTTGTTGTCTTAGGTTGGTGTGTTCCCTAAGTTATCCGGTGAGGAGTTTGATTCTTTCATGGCCCTTGCTGAGAAACTGCGCGCTGACTATGATTTCGCACACACTTTGGATGCTAAGCTTCTTCCTCGTGGAGAGTCATCTGTTGCAGGACCTTTAGTGAGGCTATTCAAGCCTTTCGATGAATTGTTTGTCGATTCCAAGGTACATGGGAAACTTGTCATTTTGTACATTACATCAATGGCTTGTCATATGTTATATGAAATAATGATGCAGATTGTTTTACGAATAATGAATTCAGGATTTCAATGGGGAAGCTCTAGAGAAATTTGTCAAAGAATCAAGCATTCCACTTGTCACCGTCTTTGATAGTGATCCAAGCAACCACAAATATGTTGCCAAATTCTTTGACAGCCCTGCCACTAAGGTAAAAGTTATGTTAGATATCATAAATGGACATTTTGTTATGCTTTATTACTGAAAAACTATTCTATATTATTTGAAGAAGGTAGTTTTAGTTATTTTGTTTTTGCTTGAAGGTTGTTCATGGTTGCGTAGTACTAACAAAGCATCTGTGTGGTTCTGGTTTTCAAAAAAAAAATTTCCTGCTTACAAAGTCATATATGATCCTCTGGTTTTGATGGGTGGTTATATGTTGAAATTCAGGCAATGATGTTTGTAAACTTCACCGGAGAAACAGCTGATTCTCTAAAATCAAAGTTCCGTGAAGTTGCTACATCCTACAAAGGACAAGGTCTTGCCTTCCTTGTGGGTGATGCTGAGAACAGCCAAGGCGCTTTGCAGGTTGCCATCTAAGTTTGTCTCTCCCAATTATTTTCTTCTGCTAATTAATAGCTTATACGCATCACTAAGCAGAGTATTTCTTTTCATGTGTCGGTTTAACAGTACTTCGGACTCGAAGAGAGCCAAGTTCCACTCGTAATCATCCAGACTACTGATAGCAAGAAGTATTTGAAAGCAAATGTTGAGGCTGACCAAATTGAATCATGGATGAAGGACTTCAAGGTTTCATTCTCTTTACACACATTCTCGTGAGTTTTATGTAAAAGAACTACATAAAATCAATGTAAACTAACCAAAGTACATGTTTACTACAGGATGGGAAAGTTGCAGCCTTCAAAAAATCTCAGCCTATTCCAGCTGAGAACAACGAACCAGTGAAGGTTGTTGTAGCTGAGACCCTTGACGACATAGTCTTCAAGTCAGGAAAGAACGGTGAGCACATATGAAAACTCTAATAATCGTTTCAAATTTTCTTGCAAATCAAAAACTGATTAAGCAATCAATTTATCAATCAGTCTTGATTGAATTCTATGCACCGTGGTGTGGACATTGCCAAAAACTTGCCCCGATCCTGGACGAAGTGGCATTGTCGTTCCAGAACGACCCAAGTGTGATCATAGCGAAACTAGTAAGCCTCTTTCTCGTGTTTCTGTTTTGTCTACATGTAAATCAATCTTTTACAGGATGGACTTAACCGCAAATGTCTGGTGTGTACATACAGGACGCAACCGCAAATGATATCCCAAGTGAACCCTTCGATGTTAAAGGCTTCCCGACCATTTACTTCAGGTCAGCGAGTGGAAACATTGTACCGTACGAAGGAAGCAGAACAAAGGAAGACTTCATAAGCTTTATTGAGAAGAACAAGCCAACTTCTCATGGTGAAGATTCTACTACTAAGACTGAGGAATCGAAGAAGACTGATGAATCGGCCGCAAAGGACGAGCTGTAAAAGTCTTTTGAGTTTTTATTTGTTTTCTAATGGAATTTGAGTAGGAGCATTTCTCTTCTTCTCCCTATCCATCCGAGTTTTTATTTTATAGTTACAGTTTCTTCTTCTTTTTTTTTTGCTCTCTCTTTTTCTGCCATTGGAACTCAAAAGTCTCTCACCAATAAAAGTTTCGATCAAAAGAAACCTAATAAAGTAATAATCATCTAATTCGTTTGACTGTTGGTATATGGTTCAGTTTAATTCAACTTCTTTTGAACGTTTTAAGCAAATCGTCCTTCTTTGATTTTAATCCATGAGAGAAGAAATTTATCAATTTACTCTAATCAACAAAATGAATCGAAAAGGTGGATACTATAATGGTTTTTAAGATTTTTAGTTTTGTTAGCATCAAACATATTTTTTTCTCATCTTCAGCTTGCAAACATTGTAACAATTTTGAACATTGTGTTTCCAACTTATATTCAATTAACTAATCCGACGAGAATCTGTATGACGCTGCGGAGATACGATGTATTGATTAAATTACTAAACCTCAGTTGTCAATGACGATGGCGTTGTCGGCGATATTCAACACATGATAAATATATATGAAGTTTCCACCAGTTATTCGTATATTCAAATAAAGAAAGAAATGAATCAATCATTCTTTGTTTGGTTCCTTTAAAGTGATATCCTGATTCACGTGGATTTGTGGACCTTTTAATCAATCTCATGATTACATATCTTTGGGTATTGAGGGTGATGAAAAAAAATATCATTCGGATTCCCATTGATTTCCTCCGGGGAAAGATGTGATAATTTATCAGCTACTTTTGACGCATCATCATCAATGCTTTTTACTTTTCAAAAAGAAAAAAATAATAATAATCATTGGGTATCATCAGTTTTTTCCTCTAAATGAGTATTATATAAATGTTAAAAGTTGTGTGTTTTTAGTTTTTGGAACTAATTGGAGAGTGGAAGTGGATATATAAGAGATCTTCAAATAGAGGGGTTTCTTTCATTGCTCAAAATGTGACGAATGACTTTCGCTTTCAGTCTTATGTAGCTATTGGTTTTCCTAGGTTATGTAATTGGTTTTCCTAGTGTTTGATGCGTAGTTAATATTTTTGTTGTTAGGTTCAGTTTTTTGGAAGGTTCCGCATTATATTTTTTGTTATGCGTTCCTTGTTTGGTTCTATGGAGTCCTATTGTTTATTAGGTGCAACTTATTTAACTTTACAAAAGGCTATTCTTCTCGTTTGGCTCTTTGTAACGTGACTACTGTCCCTGCCCTGTATGTGTTAGATGGAGTGTAATTGGTGTCATCCCTCTGGTTGGTCAATAAATATACATCTAATCTATTCATTTCCATTACCCACCCCTCTGGTTGGAAATAATATCCTATAAATATTAAAGAAAAGCACAAACGAACAGGTACAAAAGCTAAAATATATCTTTAAATACATTTTTGATATTTCTAAGTCTTTTAAGTACTTGTGTAGACTATAGGCTATTTGAGAATTAGTGCTTGTGGTCTTGTACATGTTCTAGTTTCGTACCATTACGTAATATAATATCAGAACGAAGAAGAAAAATCAAATTGAAGTATAAAAAATACGTTAGGTGTTGTGTAACCTTCTCCTTTTTTGGGGATGGTCCATGGCTCCACTCACATTACATCTTGACATCATTTCGCAAATCCCCATGAATAAAATATTATTGACCATACTCTTGGATCAGTACACTTGACTCAGAGTTTTTCCCTATAAAAATGGCACTAACTATGACTGTTAAAACCACACTCTCGAATCAAAACTCTACCATTGCAATCTTATCTTCTTTTTATTCAATCTTCTAACCAACAACAACAATGTCAACACATCTTCAAGATCCCTTAACCACCACTTACCCTGAACCGGTATTAACCAAAGAAGAACAAGAAACCGATGAGAAAATGGTGAGCTTGCAAGCAGAGAGTATCGTCAACACCGTGGCTTTCCCTATGGTTCTCAAGGCCGCCTTGGAGCTTGGCGTCATCGACACAGTCGCTGCGGCAGAAAAAGGCGCGTGGCTCTCACCGTATGAGATAGCGCGTAGTCTCCCAACCAAACCCACCAACCCGGAGGCGCCAGTGTTGCTCGACCGGATGCTGCGGTTGCTCGTAAGCCACTCGATCTTGAAGTGCCGTATGGTTGAAAGCAGAGAAAACGGTCGAACCGGAAAGATGGAGAGGGTTTATGCAGCCGAACCGGTTTGCAAATATTTCTTGAAAGACAGTGACGGTTCAGGTTCTTTGGTGTCTCTGTTTATGTTGCTCCACACCGAAGTGTTTTTCAAGACTTGGTACGTGCTTCATTGTTCTATACTAAATAAGTCAAATCGAGTTAGTGATCATTAAACCATTTAATAAACAACTAACTAATTAAACTGATTTACAAAATGTTCTACTGTATATATAAATGTATATATTTTTTGTGTTCACAGGACAAATCTTAAAGATGTGATACTAGAAGGAAGAGATGCATTCAGCTCTGCCCATGGCATGGGAATTTTTGAATACGTCTGTTCAGATAAACAATTTGCTGAAGTGTTTGATCGTGCCATGTCGGAACCTTCCAACATGATCATCAAGAAGGTTCTAGAAGTTTACAGAGGATTTGAAGATGTTAACACTTTGGTAGATGTTGGAGGAGGAACTGGCACCACATTAGGTCTGGTGACTTCCAAGTATCCTCATATCAAGGGTTTTAATTTCGACTTGCCTCAAGTTTTAGCTCATGCTCCTTTTTATTCAGGTACAAAACTCAGCAATATATTTGATAATTAAGTTGTATATTGAATTAGTGCAAATTTTAGTTAGGTAACTACCTCTTAAAAACTTTTGCTTTTTTTTTTTTAATTTTCACTAATTATAGGAGTGGAGCATGTCTCCGGAGACATGTTTGTAGAAGTTCCAAAGGGAGATGCCATTTTTATGAAAGTAAGTATATATGTCAATATGTGGCTATATATAAATGAGTATAAATATTTTTATCTTCTGAGCCAATTTTTTTAATATAAAAATGGTGAAATTATTGACAGTGGATCCTGCATGATTGGACGGACGAACATTGTATAAAGCTTCTTAAAAATTGTTGGAAGAGTCTACCAGAAAAAGGAAAAGTGATAATTGTAGATATGGTTACACCAACAGAACCAAAAGGTGGTGATTTTTCCTGTAACACTGTGTATGCTATGGACATGCTGATGCTGACACAATGCTCGGGTGGTAAAGAGAGATCGCTTTCGCAGTTCGAGGATTTAGCATTCCGTTCAGGTTTTCTTCGATGTGAAATCATTTGTCCTGCCTATTCATATTCTGTTATCGAATTCCACAAATAGATTTGGATTTTGTTTAACAAAATAATGATTGGGTCTGGTGCATGTGAAACAAAATAATGATTTCACAAAAAAAGTGGTTGTAAAATCCTGTTTGTGTGTGTGTGCGCAAAATTAATAAATTGATGAGAGGAACTTATTAATTTAGTTTGTTAATGATTTTATTATGTAATACTCTCTCCGTTTCACAAAGAGTGTCATTCTTACATTTTTCACACTTATTAAGAAAACTATTAAAAATACTACTTTGCCCTTCATTAATACATTAAAAAACTTTTTTTCTCTAATTAATAGATTAAATCAATGAGGTTAAAACTGGAATATTGTTTAAAATTCTGCATTAAAAATATAAAACGTTACTCTTTGTGAAACAAAAATAAAACCTTAAAATGACACTATTTGTGAAACGGAGGGAGTATAGTTTTATAGTGATTGTTTAGCATTAAACGGAATGTGATCGTAAAATATTCTTCAAAAGAATAAAACCGAGTCTAATCATTCCGATAAGTATGAAAACATTAGGCTTGTAACTGAGACATTGTCTCAAATGCTTAAATTCCTGTCGGGAAATTTTGTTCCTTGTCTTAAAACGTTTCTATATTGTTTTAGTAAGAAATTGGGCTCATGAAAGTTTTGTTAGACTAGGCCTAATCACTTTCAGGTATTGTATCCTCATATTAAAGGTAAAATATGGTTTTTACTATTTTAATTGCGTGCTTTGCCATTTTCTTATCTCTAGTCATATGCAGAAGCACAAGCCAAAATAAATAAATAAAAAAAACCCAAATTTCGATTAAGAAATTATTCATTGCTTTGATTACAATCAGAGATGATTAGAAAACGAGTCTTCTTCATCAGATGCTAGACTTGAGATGATCCTCTGAATAAACCAGAGGCTTCCATGACGGGTTTCGAGGAAGAAACGTATCCTGGCAAAATCACATGAAAACTCACCGATTCAATTTTCAACAAATCCAGGAAATTTCGAGAGCAGAATATATATATATGATTACAACTATAAAAATTATTTTCATACGGAAACGTAGGAGCAGGAAGGGATGACGGAGATGGAGTGAGAGGAAGCGTGTTCGAAAGCGGCGACGCAGAGATGCGAAGCTAAACCTAACCCTCGTTTGGAGGAAGGAACGTAGGTATGGACCAGATCCATCACTTTTCCGTTGTTTCTCGTCTTGTATTCGATGAAAGCTTCGTGATCCTCCGTCTCGAACCGGCGTTTCCCTTCGCTCCACACTATCTTCGGTGGCTCAACCGCCATCTTCGCCTCCGATGTCGCCGCCGTGTTCGTCGTCATGATTTGTCCAAACTTTTGTAAAATGTGAAATCAAAAAGGAAAGTTTCTTCATCTGATCCTTCCAATTATCATATTTGGGCCTTTTAATGGGCTTTACTATTGATATTTAATGATTCATTTAATGGGCTTTCAAGTAGGCCTTTAACCCTTAAATATAGTCAAAAAACAAAGGGTTTTGATTTTGAACTATAATTCTTTTTGTTGACTACATGTTTTAGTTAGAGACTTAACGTTAACATTTTATTAAGGCCCGTACTCTTTATCACTTAAGATAGTTCGAACTAACCATAAATGGTTTGGAAAGGCCAAGAAAATAGAAATCATGGAATAAATATAAAAAATGGACAAAAAGAGGTCCTACCGGGAGTCGAACCCAGGTCGCTGGATTCAAAGTCCAGAGTGCTAACCACTACACCATAGAACCACAGATGCTTATTCTGTTGCATTGATTGTATTTCTACGATGACGTTTTGACTGCCAACCAACCTCATGATCAACGTTGTTATGATCATCTTATGACTCAGAACATCACATAAAAGCTTACTTAAAACAAAATTGAAATCTTTAGAAAGATCATTCATGTTGTCAAAAACGGAAGAGGAAGAAGAAACATCATGCATTGAAAATCCCTTGAATACACTAAAGATAACATTATAGATTAGGATACAAAATCTGGAAAAGGAACAAAGAGGTGTTAATAACCGTTAAAAGGATCTTTCAACCTAACAGAAGATTGTGTCTGCCTAGAGCCAAAGCTATGCTAAATGGCTAGATGGATCCCGTCTTTACTTCGAGTGAATACTTTAGCAAATCCATTGCGATTCTTCTCTGAACTCCCTCGATTTGATGAAACTGGCGCCAAAGCAGCACCAACAGAAGAAGAAGAAGAAGAAGAAGATGAAGATAAAGATGTTTCTTTAGCTGGTTTGATGGACTCGGGATGATTTCTCGCCATGAAAGTTTCATTCTTGTGTACTTTCCAACTCTCTGTGTTACTGCTGCTTACACCATTTGTAGCCACTGGAATTCTCGCTGTATCGATCAAGAAATCTTCAAGCGTTGCGAGAGATTGCAGCTGTTTCCCCAACGAAGCTATTGTTTTCTGACAATTCGCCAGTTTCCCCGCAGCTGTTACCATGTCTTCCTGAAAATGCATAATCAAGAGTTTAGTGAGTAAAAAGGATTGAGTTTGGAACACAGAGCAAAAGTTTACTTAAGACCTGACTTGTGGACAGAGACCTGTTTGATCTTTGGTTCTATATTTTCTCTCTTGATTGCGTTTTCTTGATGGAGAGACACTTCTTCTTCAAGAGCCTCACATTTTCTTCTAAGCTCATCTAAAGCAAACCTCTCCTTTCTCACCTCTTCTTCCAAGGATTCGATCTTTGCACATTTACTCTGTGCCTCTGCTTCCATGGATTTGATTTGAGATTCAACTTCTGTTTTTAGTTCGTTGGCCAGTTTCATCTCCTTTTGTATCTCTTCTAGCTTTGTTTCAATGTCTTGGAGACAAACTTGAGATTCTTTATACTTATCTTTGATTATATCAAAAGATATCTGCAGCTCAGCTTTCTCAACTTCCATCTTCTCCAACTTACTTTCCAGCTCCACTTTATCACCAACTATAGTTTCAAGCTCAAATCTCAATGTGCTCTCCACTTCTCTATTACATTTAGCTTCGCTTTCGAGCTCATCTTTCTCTGCTTCTAACTTCTCCAACTTATTTTCTAGCTCCACTTTATCACAAACTATAGCTTCAAGTTCAAATCTCAATGTGCTCTCCACTTCTCTATTACATTTCACTTCGCTTTCGAGCCTATCTTTCTCTGCTTCTAACTTCTCCAACTTATTTTCTAGCTCCACTTTATCACAAACGATAGCTTCGAGCTCAAATCTCAATGTGCTCACCACTTCTCTCTCACATTTAACGAGCTCATCTCTCTCCGCTTCTAGCTTCCCCAACTTCTCTTCAAGTTCCTTATTCCGGCAAGTCAATACTTCTATTTCAGCAGCCAACAAGTTCTCTTCTGTGACAGACTCAGGTCCACTCTTACCATTTCCATCTGGTGTCTCGGGCAAAGCTACAAGACGTTCCATCTCAAGAAAATCACCCATGAGATCAACTTCAATTGAAGAAGAAGTTCCCTGAAGGCTTCTCTTTTCAATCAATGTAGATGATGTCCATGACTCTGAGCAACTCGCATCCATTCTTTCTCCTCCATCCGAATGACTATCAGTAGATCGATGATCATTAAACGATGATGATGATTTAGCCAACATCCGAAGCTTCCTACACTCAGCCTCGAGTTTCGCCACTTTCTTTATGCTATCTAACTGCAGCTTACTAGCAGTTTCAGCTGCTTGCGTGCTCAAATCTCTCTCAATCGTTCTGATCTCTAGCTCTTCGCATCGTGCAAGAAGCTCGTGTCTCAGCATCACGTTCTCCTTCGCCACAGATTCTGCCATTTGGCTAAGCTCCTCGGATTTGGTGGCAGCTTCAAGAATCTGGTTCACTAGGCTGGTTTTAGAAGATTGCAGCTCTTGAGTTCTCTCGGTCACAGCGTCTTGAATTCGCTGCTCTTGTTCATCTTTTGCTTGCCTTAACTGTCTAACACACTCCTTGAGAGCTCCATCAAGATGGCTAACTCTATCTTCCAACACTCTATTCTTATCATCGGCAGCTTCAAGCTTCTCCTTCAACTCAACCGCTTCATTCTCAGCTTTCTCCCACCCTTCAAGAGAACATATGTTTCACTCTAAGAAGATTCACCGAATCATAACCAAAAAAAAAATCCAGAAAATGGAAAAGGACTGATACCAGCAACAGCTTCTTCAGCGACTTTGACATGTTGCTTCACTAGTTCATCTTTAGCACTCACGTTTGCAAGAGCAGCTGAAAGTTTCTCTGTTAAAGTCCTCATGCTATCTTTCAAGTCTTCAGTTTCGGTTTCTACTTCCAAAGAAACCTCCTCCACTGATTGTTTCCCATCATCATGAGACTCTATTGTGCTCTCAGGCTTGAGAAAAAAATACGCATCATAAGGATCTTTTAGATAGAAACGACACTAGAATATGAAATTTCAAAAAAGAAAACCAGCTATGCTCTTTATCTTACTTGAATTTCAGAATCCTTCTCAGATTGTGAAGACACCGACTCTGTTTCACCAAAGCTTCTCTCAGATGACTCTCTCTTTCGTTTCTCCATTGCAACAGTAATCAATCAGCACATAACAGTCTCAGGATCTGAAGAGAGAAGAGAAACACACAATTTGATTCTTCCAAACGTTGAAACCAATTCAACTCCCCTAAAAATAAAATAAAAGCAACAGACTTTGAGATGAAGTAAGCTCAGCCAACCAACTAACATGCAAGAGAAGAGAAATCTTGAGTAAACCCAATCATTTATCTTAAAAAGAAACTCATTTTGTCTTATATCAAACCAAATGTGCCTTTGTTTGTTCCAGATGTCCGTTTCATACTATTAAATATCCACTAACAACAGAGAAAGCTACAAGACAATTACATAGCTTATCAATTTGGAAGATTTAAAATTTAAATTTGAAACCTTTTGCTTCAAACCACATTCAAAATCGAAAATTTTCGATTATATTTACCCATTTGCTTAATTTGAAATCTCCCGAAAACTCAAATCCAAGGCCATCACATCAAAGAAGTACACAGTAATGAAACAGTATTAATTCGTCTCAATCTTTTCTTTTTTGATAAAATTAGTCTAAATCTTCGTTTGATGATTCGGAACTCCAGAAAATAAGTTGCTCTTTAAAGACATTTCCAAACAATGGCCTCTCCAGAAACAAAAAGCAATTAAAGAAGCAATGAAATACGAAAAATAATACTGTGGAAGAGAGAATCTTACAAGAGCTCAAACGAGCATGAAATAAAATTACCTTTGTCCGAAGCCTGGGGACTGTCTGAAGAACTTTGAGATCCCAAAACGTCCCAATGGAAACAAAAATCAGCGATTAAGAAAGAAAAAAAAGAAGAATAAGCTTTCTTCTACTGTCTGGAACACTATTACGATTTTTAACAGCGACAAGGCGCAGAGAGAGAGAATGCTCTATATCTTTGTTTTTTGCTAATTTAAGTTTTCTAATTTTTAAAACATATTCCTTCTTTAATTCAAAAGATAGAGAGAGAGAGAGAAGGCATGTGATCCTCTGTATGTGGAGCTGTGAACTCAAACATTAAAATCTAACTTTTCCAGCTTTTTTATTTTTTTTTATATCTTGAATAATATTTTATTTATGTAAATGTACTAATGTATGAAGAAACGTATTTTCTATAAAAAAAACAGTAGTAACTACACTTAATTTGAATTGTTGAAAAAAAGTACTTCAATTTTCGATCTTCCACTATATGAGTTTCAAAACCAAACTTGCTTACAATTCCCGCCCGTGAATAAACATACATTAATTATTTCTTGTCTCCATTGCATTTTTTCCCCGTTTCTAAAAAAGGCCGTTACATAGGAAGAAAAGAAAAACTGGAATTGAGGAAAAGATACTGAAAATTAAATAAATTAGTAAGATCTCTAGTTTTGTAAAAGCAGATCCAAAAATTTCCCAAAAATAAAACTATATTGCGCCACAATTGACTCAATTCACGCTAGAAAAATACTAATCAAGTATTATTGAAATTTTTTGTGTGCAAAAGTATTATTGAAATTTATTTTAAGAAAATTATCGAACATAGAAAGCAGCTTTGAATTTAAGGAAGGTTGTAATGGAAAAGTTAAGTACATGGGATTAAGAGCTGACGCTGACCATTGGATTCCCTGACAAATCAGTGAGATACACAATTTATCTGACGGCGGATATTGCTCCTCTTACTCTGCTTTAAATTCCTTTGTCTTTCCAGTTTCTTACTTTTCTACGATCTATATATACTTCTTTTATTTATTCTTACAGTGTACACTAATTTAAACATCGAGTGCTTTATTAACTCCCACTCTCCTGTTTATTAAATCTTAATCGTTAGTAGTTGGTAAGATAGCTTTATATTCACTCCAAATCACCATTACTACTTACTAGTCCCACTTAGTGTCGTTTATCTCGAGACTAGAGATAACAAATTAAAAACTATAGTTTTATCAAGAACAATACTATAATTTCGCTGTTTCATACAGTTAGTCTTGGCTTCATGACAGATGGATTAAGATTTGACAACAATTGCCTTAGTTTGATAAAGACCCATTAAGTGGTATGGGCTATAAGCCTAGAGATTGTTGAGACTCCTAATGAAGTTTTGTGGCCACAACTATTTTTTTTCATCTCCCAGGCAATGCAAACAACAAAGAGAAAGGCACACACGTTGTGTACAGTGTACTTTTGGAGACTGAGTTTTGTTTGTTTGTTGTTTATGTATTTCGAATGCGTTGGGAAGAAGAAAAAACAAAAAGAATAGAAGAAGAAGATCTAGGAGGCATATAACTTGGTGAGATCTTCAGAGAACTCCTTCTTGATTACATCTCTTTTAAGCTTTAGAGCTGCTGTGACTAAGCCTGATTCTGGCGTCCATGGAGACCCCAACAATTTGATCTTTGCTGGTATTTCAAACTTCTCCAATCGCGATTGTTTAGCCGCCTACAAAACACAGCACATATATTATAGAGATCTGATTTGGTGGACTCAAATCACTGGGGAATGCGTTTTCATGATGAACATACATTGACAAGAGACGCATAAACTTCTTTCACTGTTTGTTCTTTCGCGCACAGCTCTTCGAAGTTGGCAGAGTCTATTCCTTGTTTTAATGCCCACCCTTCAAGAGTTTGTTGTGACGCGACCACAAGAGCCACACAGTAACTGTAAAATGGATCAGCATGAACCATTATATTTTCAACGTAGGGACTTATACTGAGAGCAGCTTCTACCTGCAAAGACACGACTCTACTTAATAAGCTTATCTGGAGAACTGAGTGAAAAAAGAGTAAAAACAAGAGGAATTTTTTTGGTTTCAGAATATACTTTGCCCAAGGAGACATATTCTCCATGCTGAAGTTTAACGATATCCTTTTTTCGGTCTATAATCTCGAGGCAACCATCGGGGTGAAATTGTCCTATGTCTCCTGTGTAGAACCACCTCATCCCCTTTTCATCAACCTTTGAACATTAATGTTTATAGAACGGTTAGAGCAAAAATTAACAAATCTAAAACATTGCAGAAGCCCGATAATGATGATTTACCACCTTGTAAACTTCTCTAGTTTTCTCTTCATTCTTGAAGTACCCAAGCGTAATATTTGAGCCACCAATTACAATTTCACCACGGGGCATTGGCTTATCGCTGGTTAGATACCCACCTTCCGGCCAGTCTATTAGCTGAAATAAGATATAAGCATATGACCATAAGAGACTACTACATCCAATTTGAATAAACCATAAATAGCTAACAAAGCATTAAGATGAACAACCTGTGTGCGTAAGACATGAAACAAAACTAGAGGATCTATAAGGTAAAGAGGTTACCTTTACAAAGGAGCAAGGAAGTGGAGCACCCACACGGCCAACCGAGGTGTCATCAAACTCAGAGAAGGTTCCACCAGCACAAGTCTCTGTTAGTCCATATCCCTGACCGATTGGAGCCCTGTGGAATTTCAGAAAGTTAGATCAGAGAAAATGGTATATGTTAATGAATCTCTTGAGTGTCACCAGAAAGAGGGATGCTTTTACCCAACGCATATGTTAATGAATCTCTGAGTGTCACCAGAAAGAGGGGCACCGCCAGAGAGCAGATAGCGGATTTGACCTCCCAAGACTGCACGGATTTTACCAAACACGAGCAGATCCCATAGGAGCTTTTCCAATCCCCAGGCTCCAAACCAACTTCCATTGATTGCAGATAATCTCCGAGCATATGCAAAGTCAAACAATTTCTTTGCAAATCCTCCCTTTGCATCGACCTGACGATCAGAAATTGTCAGTGCTCTTGCAATTATAAGGTTTAGCACAATTTGGTTGCTGGGAGATGGCTGATATCATTAAAAAAACTAGCAGAGCAACAGCTCAACTGCTTGAACAAGCCAAAGAATTTCAATATGTATTCAACATGCACAAACCTTTTTGCGCACACCATCCCGGACACGGTCAAGAATGGCTGGAACAGCTGTCATTATAGTGGGCTTTAGTGCTGTTACATCTCCTTTTGTACCCTTTTTTATCTTGTTTGAAGTATCAGTGAGCGTCAAAGGAGACCCGTATCCAATAGCAATCCCAATAGTAGCCATTACGCTCTACAACAACGATATTCAGGCCGTTTAAAAATCGCATTGAGAGTCACAGAAATGCTGAATAAACGCATTGAGCAATAAAGTTTCTTAAGATACCTCAGCTGCTAACTCAAGGATGTGAGCCAAAGGTAAATATGCCATGTATATATCCCTCTTTCCGAGGTCTGGAACAATTGTCATCACTGCTGAGACTGTAGCTAGGACATTGCCATGTGTCATCATAACACCCTATACAATTTGGCAAGTGGGAAAATCACAGAATGAGAAATTTTATGCACAACCGAGTATTCTTAACTGATAAAGACATTTTCCGAAACCCATAAAAAAAAAGTATTAAATTTCAGAAACAATAAAGGTAAGTGTAAACTGGTTTTGAAAACCTTCTAACCTTGGGAAGTCCAGTACTTCCACTGGTGTACATGATGACAGCAACATCTGCTGAAAGTGGAAAATTAGGGTCGACAGGATTTTCACGGCCAAGTTTCTGAACATCAGCAAATGAAGTCGTCTTCCAACTACTGCTTGCATCAGATGGGAACTCATCATCCATACAAATGACGCGTTTCACAGTTTCAAGCTGTTGGCTTATGTCCATAAGCTTTTTGAGTTCCTTGTTACCACAAATGACGGTTGTGACCTCCGTCTGGAGAGTAAAAGAAAGGGAATCATGAACACATGAAAGCACAAAAAAAGAAGAGGAAAGCATACAAAAATATAAAATATATACTTAATAACAGGATAACAAAAAGCCCATTCACCCTATTCAATAGGAATATCATACCGTACTGTGTACAAAACACCATAACTAACTAGAACATATAAGCGGTACAGGTGATGGCATGGATATAGGCCACCATAATAGAGATGAAACAGAGAAGAGAAGCAAGGGCGCTACCTCATTCAGCGAGTGACAAAGAGCTTCCTCTCCCAGAGATGAATAGATAGTTACCACAGTGACGTTGCGCCTGAAGCAACCCTGCAAAAGTGAATCACAGCATATTTTCACAGCTGAATCAGCAATGCATTCAAATGAAAACAGTAGGGAAAAAAAATGGAAACGCACCTGTAGGGAAATAAACCACTCTTCTCGAGTATCTGCAAAAATGGCGATACGTTCTTCCGACTTGTGTCCAATATGAACCAAACCAGAAGCAAAATTACAGACAGCATCAAGTGTTTTCCCAAACGTCATCCATTCATAGTCACCCAAATGAAGTTTCTCAAATGATTTTCCATCGTCACTAGTCTCAACCTCTCTTGAGATGAGCTTACGGGTTCCAAGGAAAAACCTGTCGGCATGAACTTTACACGATACCTCAAAGAGCTCTGGAAGTGTTGAGATGTCATCCCAATGGGAACTAACAGGATCAGTGAACCTGTGATTCCTAATGACATGACCTGGTTCTCCACCAACATCATCAACAATCACACCTCTTTTCTTTTCTTTCTTCGAATTCCGAACCAAAAGCGTCAAAGCTAAAGGCACGATGACACCAGCAGCATAAGGAACCATCTTCCAGAAGATTTCACTATATGAATATAATAGCTAATGAACACCTCTTCCTGCAATCAAATGCTGAACATCATTCATTACTAATGTAATCAATTTCGCGAAAAACCAACTTGAATACAAGGCAAACACGTCAGAGGATAGTTATATATAATACAGAGAAGAGCTACAAATAACATTGGTTAAGCAGAACACTCTCGTGAACTAAGAATTATTCATTTCGTTTGATCAGCGAACAAAAGGAGTGAAAGATCTGAGAAAAGCGAGAGTAGAACAAACTAATCAAA